AAACAATGAATGTAGGTGGTATACGGGTATATTTCGACTAGCTATATTGGATTATATCGTGACCAATTCATTGTACATAAATCTTGTGAAAGGGCTTATTCCTCAAAATGTCCTTGGTTTTCATAGCATGCAATTATTTATAAATTAATTTAAAATAAAGTTTAAGAGACTAAAATAGTTTTGCAACAGATCCGATGACGCAGTCATCACCCGTTTCCAACTAGTAATACAATCTCTTTGGTGAAACGGTAAAATTGGATTTTTATTGTTTTTACGATAATAGAGTTAGCGATATTCGTAAATAATTGCATATTATGAAAGCCAACGACATTTTGAGGAATTAGCACGTTCACAAGATTTATATACAATGAATTGGTCACGATATAACCCAATAAAGCTACTCGGAATATACCCGTATACTACTTACATTCATTGTTTATAACCGATGTGTAAATGTTTATTGGTAAAAAGCAAAAAACACGGATTCTTCATTTTTTGTGAGCAAGCACATCGCGTAAGTGGAACGTAAGTAGGAGTGCTTGTTTATTAGATATTACAAAAAAATGTCGCCTGAAGGGTAGTTCACCCCCTTGGGGGGGGTGTAACATTGCTGGACAATATTGTGTTTTCACCGTCCTTATACGGGACACTTGGGAATGTTTCCTTGTAAACTAAAACGATGGTAATACGAGGTCTAGGATTGAAAATTTAGTTGATACGGAAATCATAGATGGCGCAGGACGTCCCTCTGCAGTCAATTAGGGCCTCAGAAACCTTGAATCCAGAGGATTTCTGAAGTTTTACTTCGATTTTTTTATAATGATTGCACGAAAACGACAGGTGGAGTATGCGATTTAGTACAATGCCCAACATAATTCGACACAGTTGTCAATATAAAAACGAACGTCGGCAACGTAGGTATTTAGGAAAGTTCTTTTACCGACGTCGATCAAGTTCCTCGACGTCTTTCACTTCGCCTTAAGTGGATGTGAAGGTGGCATTCGAAAGCTCAATCGTTCATGAAACTTTTCTTTGAACGGGGTGTACCGAATTGTTTCAAACTTTCCAGCATGAATATATATAGCTATAAGGAGACTCCTGACCCTGATGAAATTTCATTTTTTATAACAAGTTTTGAAAATGTCAATCAACAAATTTAAAAAAAGAATTGAAATTTTGTGGGTGTCAGGACCTACCTAATAGCCTCCATATTCACATTGTTAAGTTTGAAACGATTCGGTACACCCAGTTCGATGAAAAGTTTCATAAACGAGACCTCATTGACGCCACTTTCACGTCACTTTGAGCATTAAGGTGAAGTGAAACATCCTTCAAATCAGTCGATTCGAATACAACACTTTTTTTTAAGGATATTAGACCAAACTGTCCGAAACTTTGACACATCACTCCTGATCAGCTAAGAATTGTCCTGACACATTCAAAATTTGGATTTTTCAAAAAAATTTGTTAACTCAGCCCAAACCAGAACCAAAATGGCGTCGAGCTCTCATATTTCGATCGATGTACTATTATCGAAGGCTCTGATATGAGAATCGAAAGGGTCAGGACAATTTTATGATAATTTAGAACACTCTGGTAATCGATAAACTCGCATTTGAACGGGATAAAGGCAAAAAAAGTGTTGTATGCGGTTCTTTGCTAAAACGATGGTAACACGAGGTCTCGGAGTGAAAATTTAATTGACCTGGAAATCACAGATGGCGCAGGGGTTTCCTCCGCAGTCAATTAGGGCCCAGAAGGCATGAATCCAGAGGATTTCTGGAGTTTTACTTCGATTTCTTCATAATTATTATACGTAAACGACAGGTGGGATATGCCATTTGGTACAATACACAATATAATTCGACACAGCTGTCAATATAAAAACGAACGTCGGCAACGTAGGCATTTAGAAAAATCTTCTTTATCGACGTTGATCAAGTTCCTCGACGTGTTTCACTTCACCTTAAGTGCACGACACTCATGTATGTAAATTCATCGCGGACTTTGAAATGTCAGACAAATTCCCAGAAAGGGACTTACTGCCTGCTTGGGCCCATCGGGCCATTTACCAATTTAGCAATTTCCTGACTCCGAAATCTGTTCGTAAATTTTAGTTTTCTACGATACGGTTATATTGCCCCGTACGTCCCAACACGAAGGTTTAGGGTTCTTTAGAATTTTTCTCGGGTTGACCATCCCTATTCTTTACCGTTATACCTTTTTTAACTTTATCGCTTACATGTGCGCGCAACATGCACACGTGCATACAGCAAGTTTGTCCATCTGCACGGCAACTAGAAATTTTCCGATTTCACCCAACCGTATTGGACAGCTACCGACCAATCACGAGGCTGACTATTCGATTTTAACCATATAAGAAAAAAATATTTTTTACTTCACGATTATTATCGGACACTTCATTTGGTATCAAAAAACACGACAAATTTTTGTAATATTTTCGTACCGCTATTTCAGTAGGAGAGTAAAACGTATGATTTTGATTTCAAATATATTTACAACGTTTATAATGTATTCGGTAGATAATATTTAAGAAAAATACTTATATTAAAATGAAATGAAATGTTTTATATATATATCTGTTAGAAAAATATGATGATAACACATGCAGCTAATATTATACAAATATTATAAAGATAATATGCTAATGTAAACGTTTTGCAAATACTTCAAATGTCTGCTAAATATTTACAATTCGATATTCGTTAAATATATAGAAAATATAGGACCAATATTTTGGACTACTAGAGTTGCTTACAAATTTCAGCTTTTCATAAATTGTTGGAATTCTACCTCGGAGATTACGGATGTCATGGCCGAGAGAGGAATGGACCGGAAGGTCGAGGATTTTTTGGAATTGTGGGGAAACTTCCACATAGCTCAATTGAAGATCATCGACGACCTCAGAAGAGACGGAGAGAGAAGCAATATCATCATCTGGAGTTCTCGACTAACCGGATTGGACACTATCGAGCGATATTTGGACAAGTCGCGATTCGTCGTGCAAACGTGGGTTGAGTCGACCTCGGAAATGCCCTTTAATTTGCTCAATCTGGGCTACAAGTTGATCATATCCACAAAAAATGCCTGGTATCTCGATCACGGGTTTTGGGGTAGAACCAAGTACCACACATGGAGGGACGCTTACAACAACCGATTACCCAGACTGGTAAGTTAACTTTTCGCAACACTATGTTACATCCGTAAGATTTGTTAATTAGTCTCGCTCCTCTCTCTGATTTACGACCGTGGAATTCACTTAACTCGTAGGGACATTGTACCGTCTTAAACCCTATTATCACTTAGGCTCAATAAGCGATCCGTAAATATTCTTATTTAATGGCAGGACTTCCCTTCATCGCACCTCACTATTTGGATCGTTCTAACAAGGAAACATTCCCAAGTGTCCGCCCCCGATCTTATTGATTTCCATATATGTTGAAGAACATAAAAATCTAAGAGACACGTGTTTTTTTATATCTGCAATGGTCCACATTTAAGGGGTGAAACAACCCCCCAAAGTTTGGCGAAAATTCAGTTTTTATAATAATTTTCGTAGAAGCAGTGAAGGGATTTTGACGAAACTTGGTATAAACGTATTCCGTATAAGGACGGTGAAAACACAATATTGTCCAGCAATGCTACACCCCCCGAAGGGGGTGAACTACCCTTCAGGCGACATTTTTTTGTAATATCTAATAAACAAGCACTCCTACTTACGTTCCACTTACGCGATGTGCTTGCTCACAAAAAATGAAGAATTCGTGTTTTTTGCTTTTTACCAATAAACATTTACACATCGGTTGTAAACAATGAATGTA